ACAGAGAGACAGAGGTGGCTAGGGGAGGGGATGAGCAGGGCAGCACAGAGGCCTCCTTCTCTTCTTCAGTGCTTTGGCCGGAACCCCAAGCACTGTGTGCGTGAAGCAGGTGCTCTGCTACTGAGCTGTGTCTTCATTCCAAACAGTTCTCACTTGTTAGAATGCCCACAGAGGTCTTCAAGGAACTTGACAAATTAAAAGTGTGCCAAGAATAAGGAATGTAAGTACTCACTGTCCCCTTACCCATAAATCTTATTATAAAGATTGCTTCAGTACTTAAATCCAAGTGTGTATGTGTGTGTGTGTGTGTGTGCATGCAAAACTAATCTTCTACCTGATATTGCCTACAGAAACAAATTTCAGTAGCTTTTTGCCATATATAAGAAAGACAAATCTGTAAAACTGCCCTCACTAGTTGACGTGGCTAGTCTAAGTTTAGTTACTTGAAAAGGGGGAAAATGTTCAAGAATACACACTTTCATCTTTCTATTTTTATTTATACGGGGTGGGGGAATTGCTCCAGTGTAGATCTGGGGACAGAGCTCAGTTACTATATATCTTTCCCAGCACAGACAATGCTCAGGGTTGGAGCCCAACCCCCACATAAGCCACACAGAGCAGAGCTGCACTCCTGTAATCCTGGTGCTCAGAAAGCAGAGGCAGAAGGTCCCAAGTTAAGGTCATCCTCGGCACACAATGAGTTTGAAACCAGCTAAGGATATAGAAGACCCTGTCTCAGAATACAAAAATGAAGCGTGTAAAGCAAGAATGGCTCACACAAGTTGCACAGAATGTGCAACTAATCAAAATGATCATTTCAGTCGCTGTTGTTAATAGGAAGATACCATGAAAATGGATGATGTATAGCTATGAAAATTTGTTCAATGGAACAGAAATGGATACATACAAATGTGCACAAACATACAAAAGTTATCCAATAAAGTGGAGCTATCTTTTAAACAAGTATTGTAACAGTTTCACAGGTACAAAGTAAAGACAAAAAAAAAAAAAAAAAAAAAAAAAAAAAAAAAAAAAAAAAAAAAAAACAAAAAAAAAAAACAAACGACTTATAGCAAAAAAGTCTTATACATTAAGCCAAATGAATCCAGAATAGAACAACGATTTAAATGCAAAACATAAAATTATAAAACCTTTAGGGAATACCAGACACACAAAAACTCTTTAGGATAGAATCCTAAGCAAAATGTTCATAGACTTACTAAAAAAATAAAAATAAAAATAAAGGAGCTAGAAAAAAGAAGTACATTGCACTCTTTTCCTTGTGTTTTTTTTTTCATTCCCTTTCTTCCTCCCCTCCCTCTACTCCATTTTTTAATAAGGTGGGAGTTTATTATTTCACAATTTCAACCATGTATGTCATGTGTTTTGATCAACCCTGCCCATGCTCTCTCCCCTACAGACCCTCCCATTGTCCCCCACTGTCACTTTTCCCCCCCAGTGTCCTGAATTTTTGAAACCCACAAAGTCCAGTTAGTGCTGGCAGCGTGAGAAGGCCACGCACCGGAGCAGGGGCGTCCTACCGGGGGGCTGAAGCAAGCCGACACTCTTGCCCTGGGGAGCTCTGCACAGCCAGACTGGCCTCCAGCTGGTGGGTCTCTGGCCCCAACCTCCTAATTCTTTGGGTTACAGGCATGCACACCACACCCATTTTAGCAAAGAGAATGTTATCAAAATTAAACACTTTCTCCCTGGGAGGATGGAAAGGTGAACAATGGGCTTTAAGAAAATGTTTGTCAACACATATTGGTAAAGGGCTAATATCCAGGCTATATGAAAAGTGGAAATGCAAGGCTGGAAAATGGAACAACAGTCTGTGGCACGAAAAGGCATCTCACTATGACATTCAGTGGGAAATAAGCCAAGAACATGAGTTCAACATCATAATCACTGGGCAGCTAGAACATGAGTTCTACATAATAAATGAGGAGCTAGAACATGAGTTCAACATCATAATCACTGAGGAGCTAGAAGTAGAACTATCTGCGATATCTCTGTACACCTATGAGGCTCTCTAAAACAAAACTGAATAAACAGAGATGACAGCAGACACTAGCAAACACACAGAGAACCGTGGATCACCCTGCTGGTGAAAATGAAAAATGGCACTGCCATTCTGGAACTATGGAAGTACCATAAACTTAGAACTCATATTCTTTGGCATTTGTTCCAGAAAAATGAAATCTTAGTTCCGCATACGATTTTTGTGCTGCACCTGAGTATTTTAGCAGCTGCACAACAGCTCCAAATTGGAAGCAAACCTGAAGTCACTCAGCGGGTGAGGCCTTAGAACACTGCGGTACACTCAGGTATAAGCCAGCAACAAAGGAAATGAAGCACTGGTGTGCAACCGGAATAAACCTCCAGGAAGTCATGCCAGTGCAAAGGCAGTTCCAAGAGATTACGCACTCGGACTCCACTTACACAGTGCTTTTGACATGACAAATGTAGAAGCGCAGAGCAGTCAGCTACCCGGGGGTTCCAGGTGAAGCTGCAGAAAGTTATGAATGCAGATCATGCGGGAGCTTTGTGGAGACGAAGATGCGTTAGTGTTCTCCTCACTGTGGTTCCACACCACAGCTTTGACAGGAACTGCCATTCCGGAGCGTGAGTGGCAAAGACTTGGAGGAGGGGATCCCAGATTTCCTCAGGGATTCTGGACTAAGTGGTTTAAAGACACAAAAAGCACATAAAGTAAGAACGGGGATAGGATGGGGGTCTAGAGCGGCAGAGGAGGGACTGGGCTGGATCTGATCACCACACACATATACACGTATGAAATTCTCAAAGAATAAATTTTAAGTATTTTGAAAAGTGCTTGCAATCTGTCCATTGTTTATTACAAATGTGTATGAATCTGTAATTACCTCAAAATCTATACATAAATATATAGTAATATTTACATGTTAATAGAATATCTATAAATATATATAACAAAAAGATTACTGTTGGTGTTGGCAAGATAGATTTTTTATTTCTTCTTCAATCATGAAAGAATAAAGTATCTTTCAGTAGTAAGAAAAATTAAAATAATCTATTTTTATGAAAAAAAAATATACACCATCATACACATTTCACTGATTATTTTACTACAAAAACCCATGACAAGAACTTGAGAACTACTTCTGCCTTTTCCTTTCCTTTGAGTGTGTGTATGTGTGTGTGTGTGTGTGTGTCTAGGTTAAGTCAATATCCGGTGTGTAACTCCATTGCTCTCCACCTCATTTATTGAGGCTGAGTTTTTTGTTGGACTCTGCTAGGACAGCAGCCCAGTGCGCTAGGTGTTAGGGTTTTAATGCTTGCATTTGGGAAGCAGAGACAAGCGGATCTCTGAGTCTGAGGTCAGCTTGGTCTACACAGAGTGTTCCAGGCCAGCCAGTAAGACCATGTCTAAACAAACAAACAAACAAACAAACAACAAAGCCCACTTTCCTAACAAGCTATGAATTTATGTACACCCCTGGGGTACAGGTGAGATCACATCTGTGTCTGAAGAGCTGCCACAAGGCTCCACAGGTCAGACTTCCTGAGGTGCTGAGGCGCTGACTCATTCAAGCCTTCCTTACGGGCACGCACGGGTCTTTATGCCCCCCCCCCCCCAGCAGCCATTTCATCCCGAGAACACAGCTGCACACGTCTGCCACATGCTCAGCCCTCTGTGCTTTCCTGCTCTTTCTCTGGCAATGGCCACTCTATTTTTATCCTCCCAAACTTACTCTGAAACATTAAAAGGTCAAATCTCACACTCAAAGACGTGGCTCACTCGCACAGACTTCAAGTTTGGCTTTACTACAAGGATCAAGACCAACGGCAGTCATCTTCCTCTGACTCTTCTTACAATGGTTAACCCTGGTCTAGCTGGGCTTCTTCCTGCTCTGCAATATCTACTGTCTAAAGGTGTTCGCCCTGAGCTCTGCTCGCACACACCCTCACAAGGTTCTTTGCAGTCTCCATAACACCTGGCCTCTGTGTCTTTAGTCAGCAAAATCACCAAAGTAACACGACTATAGTAAATGCACACATGCTCAAATGTGCTTCAAAACGTAACCGAGACGTAAGCAAAGCTTGAGGGTATCGAGAAGAAGAAATACACAAGCGTCCAGCTCACGCTAAGTTTCCCCTCCGGGTTCTCTTCACGTCTATCCTCACTCTCATCATCTTTCTGGCTGGAAAGTTGTCTTCTAGTGCACCCCATCCAAGCCATGCCTTTGCTGATTCCCACTTCGTTCAGCACCACCAGTCTCCTGCTCTGAAGGTAAGGGAGAACACGCGCCGACACCGACACCTCCCCCCCCCCCCCAGCGAGCATTTCCCCACTCCACCGAGCCTCCATTTCATATTGGATTTTAGCAGAAAATTCTTCTCCTCCAAAGTATATTTGGAAGTCTCCGTTTGCTTTCTATATATTGTTTCTACAAATTATAGCTTACAAATATAAGGCTATAGTATATCTACATAATCAGTTCTATGAAAAATGTTTGCTAGGAATTGTCATTGAATAAATTATTTTTAGATGAGTTATTTTGAAATTTAAAAAAGTCTTTAGTCCACCAGTAAGCAGGCGGGTTCTGTGAGCTCGCGGCTAACCTGGTCTGAGATAGAGTTCCCGGTTGCCAGGGCTATGCAGTCAGACCTGTCTCAAAAGCTTACAGCATTCTAACATTCACCGTTCTCTATCGTTATAGTACGTAGTGCAAAGTGCTTCAATTGCTTTCATCATGAACTCACATTTCTTTCCTATTTCCACTGGGCTATTAGTGTTTTGTTTTTCCTCAAAATTGGCAATAATTTAGGAGAAGGGACTAAATTTTACCTCGCAGCGCCACCTAAAACACCCTACACTATTTGGACTGCAGGGTAAATGCTTCCAGACATGGCGACCCTTTTCTGTATCCCTGTCAGCATCATGAAATGCCCGTGCAGCGATGTATGAAAGAACACAAAGGGTTCCCCTCTCCCTCCAGCCCATGGAGATTACTCACCAGACTTTCTTGCTTTCAAAGCAATAACAGCGGCCAGCTCTCTCTGCACCTGAGGAAAGATCAGGGAAAGAAATCACGTCAGAATGAGAAGCACGGCTCCGTCAAGGCTGTAGACTCCAGTTCACCGTCCTCGCTGCCTTCTTTTCCTTCTTCAGTGTGTGGGAAAACTGCGCTGACGTTTCAGGCCAAACACCCGGGAGAAAGCATGCTGACTTAGTCTCTAAAACGCTCTTTGCCAAAGGGCACTCCCTGTGAAGTGTGCGTGCCATGGTGAGTAAGGACATAGCTGCAGAGCACTCAGAGCAGTGCACACAGCAACTGTTGGTGGAGAGATTCTGCCAAGCACGGTAAATATTCTTCTCCCTGAGGACGCTGGCGGACATCAGCAATTCTAGAAGCTTGGGATGGGTGGCACTGTGTTAGAGACTTCTGCTCGGATACAGTGAACTCTGCTGCAGGCTGAGCAGGCGACAGGAGCCACTCTGCATAATACACAAGGTAAAACGAAGTGGCCCTGTGTCACCGGGCAGGTAGAATGGGAACAGACAACACTCTTAAAATCCCAAGTGTCTTTAACGATGTCTGTCTTTCAAAATGTCAACACATATATGATGATGCCCTCGCTGCTGTGAATGCTTAAATCTGCCTTTAAGACATCCTCAAAGAGGACAATAAAGGACATGAAAGCTAAGCATAGTTCAACACAATCTTTAGGAAATCAATGCTGAGTAGCAGTTTAAAAATTCCATAATGAGTGAGTTCTTTTCTCATGAAGACACAACCGTGTGTGTGTGTGTGTGTGTGTGTGTGTGTGTGCGCGCGTGTGCATGTGCGTGTGTACCTGAATATATTAACGTAATGACACTTTAAGGGGGAAACATGGGAGTTCAAGGTTAAACTGCAGATTTGCCATTCAAATTAATTTAATTTATATTCATTTACTGAAAGGCAAGAGTGCTAATGTGTTAGAGCCTGCGACTCCACCCAGGACCATTTCCCAGTGGCCCAGCATAGGCTTCCTGAGGAAGGAAGCTTGCTCAGCTGGTTTCACTGACACACTTTGCATACTGGCATGAATGCCACTGGAAAGTGTGTACTCCTGATACAGCTGATTTAATGACTGAGACTCTCACAAAGAGGTATTGGCCTCTTTTTCTCCAACCTAGGGAGTCTGGAATCTGAAATGCTCACGAATAGAAAGTTTCTGGGGACAGAATGAGGTAGGGAGGGACTGTGGACCTAAGAACTGATGAGTGACCACAGGAAATCTTGTATAAATACATTGTGTTTGCCCAGATGAATAAAAAGGCAACAAAGTAAAGTATCAATTACTGAACATTCTGTATTTTGAGTTGTGTACAAGGTTTACAATTGTAGCATTGCCATCTGCTTTAGGGTTTTTCTCTTAGATTTTTGGGAACGGAACAAAGATGCAGATTATGAACATTCACTGGCATCCTGTCAATGGCTGCCTGACCTATGACCTCCCAGGGAAGGCGTCACTGTGAGTCAGCAACAAAAAAGCAGCAGAGATGGAAAACGATGGAGAAGTTGGCTGAGAGAACTTGCTCCCAGAGAGTGAAAGTTGGCCTTTGCCATCTCCGTGCTGGCTTTCCACACCTTAATGCCTGCCACAGGGTCTCCAGCCTTTACTCTCTAAGGTTCAGAATAAAATAAGAGAGGCAGCGCCTTCTCAAGGATATAGCGCTACAGTTTCCAAGGTTTTCATGGGGAAGGGCATGAGTGGGGTGGACCGTATAGCAGAGGTACAGGAAGGAAAGAGACGAGCACTGAGAAAGAAGAGCGGCACAAGGTGGTGAGGTTAGTGTGGGAAGAGCTTCGCCCTTTCTGCCACATATAGTTCCTGAGCTTTCCGTACTCGCTACGTTCTCTGAACCTCTGCAGTGACAGGACCTGTGTCCTGCCCATGGCAGGCTGTAGAGCAGCTCCCACAGCTCTGTGCCAGGAGGGAAAAGAGTTTTGACTCAACCCCCCCTTTCTTTCTACAAAGTACAAAAGAGAAAATGCTGTGTGAGCAAGACACAAACTAGGTCTGATCCCATTATACGTCCCTCGGTGCCTTCCAGATCTTGTTTGCTCCTCAACACCTGGCAGGTGTGCCATTAATTATTTTGAATTGTGTGGCTGCTGCTTGTCTTCTGAGCTAGATGCTCCACAGAGGGAGGGACCCGTTTGTCTTTTGCTGATAGTATCCAGCATAAGGGATGCTCCTTCACAGAAAAACAGTAGGTAAGCAGAAAACCAGCACCTGAGAGACTTAGGGAGTGAAAAAGTCACCTGAGGGACAAAGAACATTAAAAGAGAAGGCCTCCACTGCCACACACTGCTAGCATAAATCTGTTGTCATTGTTGTTGTTTTAAGACAGGGTTTCTCTGTGCAGCCCTGGCTGTCTTGGAATCTCTCTGTAGCAGGCTGGCGTGGAACTAGGCCTGCCTTTGCCTCTGAGTGCTGAGGAGAAGGTGTGCACCACCCCAAACAGTTTAGGAATCGTAAGAATATAGTGGAAGGACTTAATCCCCTTTGCAAATTGTTAGGGTTATATTTCAAGGAATATAAGCAAGTGCGCACTGCTAACATGAAGAGAGCTGTTATGAGAAGAGAAGGAACGCTGCCCACCAGCACCAGGAAAGCCTGCAGAGGCAATGCTCTGGCCACAGGGAGACCAGCAAGAGCCACCCAGCTAAGAGCCTCCCAAACGCCTGGAAAGTTGCTGAAAGGGTCCTTTAGAGGACACTGGGTTGTCCCCTTAGTTTCAGTGGCTTGTCGGCTCTTTTCATGTGATTCAGTGTTGTGCCCAGGGCTGAAAAACACTGCTCTCCTCAACCAGGCATTGGCTTTCTCCAAGACTCCATGTTCCAATGTTATGCTCATCTCATCTGGCAATCTGTCTTTACTTTGTATTTTGCTCTATCCCAATTTAATTCATTTGTAAAGAAGCATGGTCTTCACTGTGCCGTAGAGGCAGAAATGATGCGATAATTCAATCAAATGATTAGACTCAGTTGGAATATCAGCAGGCTGACACACTCAAGAACGCAGAAGACTGCAAGGGTGCTTTTTATGAAGCTTAACTGTAGTTAGAATACAGTTTATTCAGCAAACAGAATGGCTACATATTATTCCAAGCACATGCAGTTGAGGTCTTGGTCACTCTCATGAATACAGGCTGACTCAGGACTGAGGAGCTGCAGCCTCCAGTTTTCCCTCTCTCCTGGTTAACTACCACAGACTGGGGTCTGGAACATGTTGGAATGCTTTGGCTTTCAACATCTATAACCAGTAGGATCAACCCCAAATAGCACTGGAAAATGGACAAGAAGTGGGTGTTGTTTTCTCCATTTTCCCCCTGGCACTTTAGTAGCATCCCAAATGCTCACTAAGCTGTTGTTCATCACAGCGAAGGCAGGAGACCAACAGGAAGCCTCAAATGCAAACACAACAGCTAGTCTCCTGAGAGAGGTTAGATGACAAAATGCAGACCAGCTTTCTTAAAGAAGCATTTCTTTAAAAATGAGTGATTCTGGGTAGTTCAGTGAGGATCATCCTGAGAGGGCAGAGCAGTCATGGTAATGGCATTTAGCTAACTAAAGGTCTGTCCTTAGAAACTGCTTTAAATAGCACCAACACTGAACAATTTTGTAAAGGTTTTTAGTAAATCTAGAAAGAGTAGTTTTGATACCATAATAAAAATGTTTTAGAGACATAGGTAGGTGGCTTAAATATGTGTGTATATCTTTTCTCAATTTCTTAAATTAAATGTTAAAAAAAAAGTCCTGAGTTTTAGTCCCAAATATCCTGAGTTTTAAAGCACTATACAAGCTTAGGCTAAGGACTAGCCAGCCCCACCAGGCCCAGCTCAGTCCTGTCGTGTTTACTCCAGCCTCTCCCTGGTGTCTCTGCCTCTAGCTCTGCTCTCCCAAATGTCTACAGTAAACTTTCTCCTCCCCCGTACTACCAGGAATAGTCATTTCCTTTTTATTTATTTATTTTTTCATTCAGTATCTGATACCCTGAAGGTGAGATGTTATGAACAAATAATCTACCAAACAAACACGAAAAATAACTGCTGAAACACATTTACAGAGAAATTGCCTTTTTTTTTTTTTTTTTTTTTTTTTTGGTACAACAAGCAGAATAAAGCCATAAATGTTGGAAAGAAATTTCAAAGCAAGGAAACAACAAAATCTCTCTTTATAACAAATTTCAAAGGCATGCTTTAGTATGCCTTTTATTCCATATCTCAGTCCTTGTGTAATAAATGTCTTTTCTCAAGTATTGTACCTTTGGAGACAGGATGTAGAAACAGAAACTAGTGGTCTACCCATCAAAGCCCAGGCACTCTAGCAACCTCACCTGTAAGAATGGCCCCTTGTAGGTATAGTACATCAGAAAAACTCATATCAAGATAAAACTGACCAATTAAGGCCCTTCCCAACCAGAAAGTCCATCTACAAAGGGCCTCCTAAAAGAACAAGAGTCAGAACTCGGGAAGCAAAAATCTACAGCAACTGTAGGAACACCCTGCCCCCATCATTGTCTGCCACCTCGAGAGCAATGGTAGAACTCCAGGTGGTAGGGGGTCACCACAGCTGCGCCTTTCACAGGATGAGACTATGTAACAAGCCTCAGGAACAGTGCCTGGTTCAGAGCGTCCTTTGACTGTTAGCTATCAGGGACACCATGACACTGGAATTAGGATCTCTGAACGATGGCGCTGGTGCCCCTTCTCCCACCTCAGCTGTGAAGTCCGTGCCATTGACTACCGTTTCCACTCACTGTGAATGCCACACGCCTGGACCAGCCCCATGGTCACCGCATAAAATGTTTCATGAAAACGTAATTAACAGTATTTCAAGTGCTTATATTCCAAGTTTACCTCAAAAATAATGTTACAGATTTTTGCAGAACTTTTAAGTTTTAATGTATGTATATGGGACATACTTGAGTTAAAGAAGTTTACTTTGCAACTTCAGAGGTATCCATTACTTCCTGTGACTGGGATGCTCTGGCGGTCACAGGAGAATGAC